TCAAGTGTTCATTTGTGGCTGATTTTCTGTTATAAAGACCTAATTTTTTTCCATAAATCATGTGTTGAAGTTTCAGTGGCAATTTGGTGAAACATACTGTCATCAATCCATTGATGGATAATACCAACGGCTTTTCAATTAAGTCTCTTCCATTCATCATCTTTCATATCATCAAGTTTGCCACTATCACCCTCAATAGACCCATACAAATCTTACAAAATAATAAGTCTTCCATTTTAGGGGTTGTTTGGGGTATCCTAAATAAGTGTACTTTTTGTTTTTTAGACTAAAAAGTTGAGGTTGAAAATATGAATGTTTGGGTTAATTTTTTGACTTTTTATGGAAAATGTGTATTAAAAAATTGTATAAATTAGTGTGTAGGAGAAAACTAGTAATGAGAGTTGTGCAGCCGTAATTGTTGACTTTTGGTGAATAGTGATAACTTTTTAACTTTTTGAATAACTTTTTGACTTTTTGGCTTTTCTAAGACTTTCCAAACTTGGCTTTAGTTTTTCAAGTTATCCAATTGTTTCCATTGAAGCTAGACATACGACCCACATTTTCCTCCATTAATTTACACAAATAAATAAACCCAAATAAACCGTAGACTCTGATACCAGTTATTAGGGAAAATATACGATTCCTCACAAGTATGTTAAATCAATGGGAATAAAAATTAATGTGAAAAAATTTGCCATCAAAAGCAATACAAGAATTTTACGTGGTTTTCTCAATGAGAGGTACGTCTACGGAATCAAAATCTGAGTCCATTATCAATCAAAAAGTTTTAAAACGATTACAAACAAGACACGAATAGTTTCACAAACCACATTTAGGTGAATTTTAAATAATCACAAATAAATAAAAGAAAAAACCTTACTAAATACATGAATAAAAATTTTCAAAATAGAGTTAAAAAAAATCCAAAATAATAATCCAAATCAACTTTGTAAGCACCAGCCGAAAGCACACCCACTGAATCAAAACCAATTGAATCACAAAAACTAATCAAAAAAGCTATCCCACCGAATTGATCATCACCCAATTGATTCTCTTATTCTATCGCAGCCACATTACCTAGGAAACATAAAATAATATATATACCTATATTGGTGAATTTAGGACTTTTATTCAATTTCTAACTATTATCAAATAAATTATTAAATATTTATTGGACCTTTAAGAAATTAGATATAATATATTAAAAATATATTATAACTAAATCAAATCAAATTAAAATTCTTTTAATAAATCAATTGAGTCTCATTCTCTATAAAAAAAAAAAAAAACAAATACCCAACAAAGAAATCATTAAAAATACCAAAAACTAGAAACATACTAAACAAACTAATTTATTATTATCGATCAAAAAAACTAAGTAACACACTCTCTCTCTCACTCTCTCTCTCTCACAGATTTACTTTTTTTTATATATATATATATACTAGCGTATCACCCGTGTTATGCACGGAATAATTATAGATATTTATATTTGTGTTAATTTTTTTAATATATAAATTATGTTTTTAAAGATTTTTTATAAAAATAATTTAACAATCTTATTATTAATCATAGTGTACAGGAGAAATTAAAAAAGTTACTGCAGTAACTATGCACGGGCTGCATCTATAATTATTTGTATGAAAAGATTTTAAATGCTAATCAGAGATTTTGACTAAATCAATAAATGCAGGTATGTGGATTGGAAAAAATTAATAAATGCTGAGATTTTTTTTAAAATAAAAAATTTAGAAAATTAAGATTGAGAGATTGGAACTCCCACAAGGTTTGGGATTTAGAAATCCCATTTTCCTTAATATATTTACAATTATCTATATATGTGAATTGCGATTTTTAAATGTATTTTTTTTAATGTCTTATTTTTTTCCTTTTTTATATTATATTAAAGTTTAATATTTTGATAATAATCATGTGTTGGATTTTTCAAGAAATTTTTTTTATACTTGTTCTTAGGATGCATTAAAGTGTTATTATGAGGGATAATAATCATATGTGTTGAAATTTTTCAAGGAATTCATATGTGTTGGATTTCAAAGAATTTTTTTTATGCTTGTTCTTAATGCATTAAAGTGTTATTATAAGGGTAAGACCTGGGGGTTGGGAGAAGTTAATAAATGTTAAGGTTTTTTTTTAAAAAAATCAAAAAATCAGAAAATTTAGATTGGGAGTTTGGAACTCCCACAAGACTTAGGGTTAAAAATTCCTTTTTGCTTAATATATAGTATAGATAGATATATATATATATATATATTTATTTATTTAAATAACGTTTGAATATAAGCTCATAAACAAATTGAATACAACGACGCTTTCTGGACACAACTCTTAAATTATATATAGTACTTTGTTGTACATTTTTCTCCTACATGTTACATATTTTACTGTAAATGTTATGCAATTTTCTAATATAGTTCTGAAAATTTATAATTCAAAATTAAAGTTACACATTTTTAGGTAATATTGTAATTTTATTTTATTTAATTTATGGAAACAATACTAAATCACAAATTATCATAACCACAAGTTTTTATACATGATATGTATTTTTGCTATAAATATTAATGCAATATTCTAATAAAGTTAGAGTAATGCTAAAAATCCTAAAAATTTTACTAAAAATTCTACCAAATGTCTCACATGGGTGTGGGACCCATACAATGTAGGTCTCATGTGGATCTCACACCCATGTGAGACATTTGGTAGAATTTTTGAGTTCTCTAACATTTTTGATAAAGTTATGAAAATTTATAATTCATAATTGAAGTTATGCATTTTTAGGTAATATAGCACTTTTATTTTATTTTATTTAGAGAAACAATACTAAATAAGTCACAAATTGTCATAACTACAAATTTTTATAATAATGTTATGCATTTTTCAACTCTAGACGATAAATGAGTAACACTTGCATATGAATCTGATAGATAGGGATTTCCAAAAAATAAATAAAATAAAAATACTCAACCCAACAAGTTTCTGCATGTAATTCCATTCCATTTTATGAAAACAGAGGATTCTGGTAAACAAATATATAAAGAATATGAGAGAGAGCGAGAGAGAGAACTCACAGTTGGGAATGACACAAGGGACATAAGATCATTGTGATGGTGAGAATGAATCCACCCATGATCACATTCACATAAAAACAGAAAGAAAGTGCTGTTTTATGCAGGCTTGCAAGTCTCCACTTCTTTGCACACATCATCTGTTGACAGTACCAAACTGAAAATTTTAAAAAACCCCACCATATTAATTTGTGATTAGGATTTAATTTTAAACAATGAAAAGTAATTATAATTAAACAATCAACTACAAATTGGCATAACGATTTAACATGGAAAAATTACAATTGGATTCCTTCAGTTGTATTAAAAAAATCACAGGTCAAAATCACAAAATAATTTATTGAGAAGACAAAAAAATATTAGGAGAAATTACCAATACGTCCTTTTTTGATACTTATTACCCATTAAATCCTATTGATAAATTTATCAAGTATCTTATTTTTATGAATAAATTTATAGTGACAAATTTATTAGTCTCTTGTTTTTATAGTGATAAATTTATCAATTAGGACTTGTAGGTAAATTAGTCTAGTTAATAGGACTGATTGCTAAGTATCCCAAAAAATTACATACGAGAATCCTTAATTACCAAGAGAATCCATGTCCAAATTGAACTAAATTTGATGTGTCTCTTCCACCACCATTTTCGTTTCAGAATTGCTTTACTCAACGTTGAATCCACAATGTCGATTTGAATCCACAACGATGAGCCACTTTGAAATTCACCAAAGTTTGAGGCCCAAGTTTTTCGGAATCCATTGATGAACACTTTTTTTCTTTTTATGAATAAAATAATACAAACAATCATTGATGTTTGTCAATATGTAATTCGTTAATCAATCGATAACCTTATATACATCAAGGAAACTCATATAAAAACACCTTTCAATATAGAACACTTTGTGTTTTACTTCTCTTTGAGAATCTGGATGGGTTTAACCTTAAAATTAGCAAACGACACACTTTATACTAAACAGAGTCGCGAAGACCACTCGAGCGCACACTTTACCACTTAAGCGGTAAGACTAAAAGGTGGTGCTCACATATTGGCCAACTGCTCGAGTGCAACATCCACCACTCGAACAGTGAAACATATTTCACAAAAGTTCAGGATGCAAGCAGAGATACTAGATGAATCGCTTCACCGCTCGATCCCGTACTTAATCAAAAAAGTGGCAAATAGGAATGCTCAAGTCAAAATACAGAATGTCAGCACAGACTCCTCTGTACAGACACAACTTGGATTGGATTCGCATCTAAACTCTGATAACTCACAGATATAATAGAGCAAATAAAAATATAAATGAAATGAGTTTTGTTCAACGAAATTGCTAATTGTAAAAATTAACACAAACAAACAACGAGAAAACAAAAAATATAGTAAAATATGTAAAATAAAAATAAATATTAAGTGTGATATTTTAATCTTATGATATTTAAGAAACTTAAGATAAAATAGTGATCTAATAATTGAGCTTCCTCTGCCTCACTGTCCTTATATTTGAGTGAGCAAGTACTTTTATTTATTTTTGTTTTCTTTTCTAATTATCTAATTAGTTGGTAGATCCATTACCTAGTTTAGTTGATAGATGACTTAACTGATCTATTATCTAATTAATATATTATTTTTGATTTAAAAAGTCCAAATATATATATATTTTTTTAAAGTAAAGAGAAGCTTTATTGATGAAGAGAATAGACAATTCTTACAATCAGCAATAAAGAGAGGGGAAGGCTGCAAACAATAAAGTTACTCAAATGGTCCCAAAGATGGCACCACTTAAGAGGCACTAATAGATGCAAACAGACCCAGGTTGATGAGAGACCAACCTAGGCAGTACAAAGAACAAAATATAAGATAAACTGCACCCCTACCCCACTGATACAGAACCAGAAGCACCAGAACACCGAGCACTACCACCACCAGTAGGCTTTGATCCTATTAAGATTATTGACTGTATCCTCCACTGAATACTGCAGATCTGTAGTACTATGCTTAACCCAAAGTGCTACCCTTACTTTTACCAATTCAGATAATTCTAGCACATCAACAGACTTACCGTGAAAAAGACACTCATTCTTTACTTTCCAAATTGACCACATTACAGCCAAAGGAACAGATTTCCACATTTTTTGAACCACCTTCTTGAACTTGAAACCAGCCCACCAATTCAGCAAGACCTTAACAGACCCCGGCAGTACCCAAACCAAATCCCACCATTTCAATATATCAGTCCACACTTTCCAAACCAAAGGACAAGATAGAAGCACATGATTAGTTGTCTCCTCCTCTACTTTGCACATCAAACACAGCGAACTGGCTTCCATGTTTAACACACCAATCCTCTTAAGAAATGTTGAAGCTTTAAGTCTGCCTTTCCATACTAACCAACCACAGAATTGCAGCTTTGGTGGGGCAATATTCTTCCATAGCATATCAGCAACATCAACAGTAGGACCTTTCAAAGACACCCACCACTTCCATGTTGAAGCAATAGAGTATGAACCTGATGAACTGGCCAGCCACATACAAGAGTCCTCAGAATCTACTGTGAGTGAAGGTGCATCCCTAAGTAACACTTGTAGCCTAACAACCTCCTCATCTTCCTAAGCTAGCAGAGGTCTTCTGAAAAGGAAATTCCAATCTTGAATTGGTCCTTTCCTATGATACATCTGCAAATTGTAAAGCCCTTCTCCACAGATATGCTATACAACCTAGGGAATTCCTCCTTCAAACATAGGTTATTTAACCACTTATCCTCCCCAAATTGGACTCTTTTCCCATTGCCAACAACTAACTTAAAATTTGATAAATAATAATCAACCAAACCAGGGCAATGTGCACCAATGTGAAGGACATCAGCCCACACTTTGGACACTGAACTAGACTCTAGTACAGTAGGTACCCAGCTTTCCACCCATGCCATATTTGCACCTCAACATCTGCTTCCAAAGGGCTTTGTCCTCCACACCAAACCTCCACCACCATTTAAGTAAAAAATAATTATTGACTTCTCTTAGCTTTCTAACCCCCAGACCTCCTTGTGATCTATCTACTGCTATGTCCTACCATTTCACCATATGGACTTTCTTCTTAAGATCAGAATTGCCCCAGAAAAAGGCTGCCAAAATCTTCTCAATCTGCTTAGCCACGCCCATTGGTATTTTAAAAATTGATAAAAAGTAAGATAGCAGACTTGAGAGAACTGACCTGATCAGAGTTAATCGACCAGGAAAAGAAAGGACCTTCCTCTTCCAAGCAGCTAGCTTCTTTTTCTCTTTCCCAATAATTGATTGCCAAGTACTTTTTCTACTGGGATTGGCCTCTAGAGGTATGCCTAGATAACTGATAGGGAACATTTAGGTGTGTCACGATCCAAACCCGTCCCTATGGGTTTAGCACCGTAACCGGCCAGTAATCCGAGATTACTGAAGGCCTGCTTAACAGTAAAACAGTAAAACAGAGTACAGGGGCATGATGGAAGCCAATACAGTAAATAAACAATGTCCAATGAGCTGTGAGTCTGTATGCAAAAAGATTTTTCATACATATATACATGAACAGTACAGAACCGTATGTACAACATTTACAGTCGATCAGGACAGTGACCTAGTCCCTATTAAACAGTACAGTACAGTGCTATCAGTCAATACAGTTATTACAAAACAGATACAGAGGCAGACGGGGAAAATTAAAACACCCCTAAGCCATAGCTTGGCAGGCTCGGAACCTCGCAGTGAGGTACAGTGGTTGGCTCGACAAAAAGGGGAGTCTAACCCACGCTCCTAGTTCCAGTCTGGTGCCTGAACACCTACACACACACACATATATATATATATATATATAAACAGTGAGCTAAAGCCCAGTGAATAACATAATGCGTAAAGAGGTTAAGAATGAATGTCCTTTCAGTATTAAAAACTGTCAGTTGATTCAGTATATCAGTCATTCAGTCATAACAGTCATATGTGGTACATCCATTAACATAACAGTACAGTAAACAGTAGGTCTTAAAATACCGAACAGTAAATGATGGCCATCATATCAGTAACAGTAGTATTTCCAACATGGGAACCGACAAAGATCTCAGTAATAGTAGCAGTCAGTGCAGTAACAGTAGTTGCTAAGGATGCCACAATATAGTTCAGAATAGAGGACATACATTCATTCAGTAACAGTATCATTTTAGACAACAGTACAGTTCAATTGTTCAGAAGATAATCATTTTGAACATATCTTTACAACATTGTTACTCAAAGAGTTCTGGGCTACAGTTAACTAGAGCGCGTCCCCAGATGCCAACCCTACACAGTTACAGATTGAACACACACTAAGCTACACAGTTGGGAAAAATAATAACTTAATCCCTAAACTGTCTCGGTGTGGTTCTACATCTATATCATCATTAAGATGCCTTAAACTAGGCCTAAGACTGCCTAGCATGGGATGAGGATGCAAAGATGCACCTAAAAAGACATTTTCAGAATTTTCAGAAAACAGGGGTTCCGCTTGAGCGCATGTTACCCCGCTAGGCAAACAAAATACTCCGCTCGAGCGCGAGTTATTCCGCTCGAGCAGACTGTAAAACAGTGCAAAAGTATTGGATGTGTAAAAATCACGCTCGATGGGCGCTCGATAGCCGCTCGAGTGTAAAACACAATGTCCCGCTCGAGCCCCAATTACCCTGCTCGAGCGGACTTCAAAACAGTTCAAGATGCTGGGAGCTCGAATTCCCCGCTCGAGCGCAACTTTCCCCGTTCGAGTGGGAGACCAAAATCTGGAAAATCCAGATTTGAGTCCCAAGCTCAAAACTCAATCTTTGATGCATTAAAACCAATCCTTTTGGGCCAATTTTCCAGAAACATTCCAAAACTCATAATTTGACATAATTTCAAGCTCAATTGTAAAATCAAAGCCCAAGGGTAATTTAATTCAATACCAATTTGAAACCAATTTTCATGTGCAAGATGAATATGCAACATGTATGAATTCAAACAATTCTCAAGCTTTAAAACTTGCTCTAAAGAGCCAATTCTTCCAAGAACAAGATGAAATCATGGTTTATGATCAAAAAATGAACATGCATGTGAGGAATGATGAACTTACAACCTCAAAACTCTTCAATGTACACATGCATGCAAGATTAGAGCTACAACTTAACATGTTAGAACTAATTCATGACTTAGCTCTTCAATTTGACAAGAACCATGCAAGAATCAACTTAAAGACACAATTAAGAGGATAAATTCCTTACCTAGGTCCTCAAATACAAATCTAGAAGCTCTATTGGTCACAAGCTCCCCCAATCTTCTCAATTTACAAGCAAAACAAGATGAATCAAGTTGAATCATTCTTTTCCTCTTACTCTCTCTCTCTCTCTCTCTCTCTCTCTCTCTCTAGTCGGCAATAACAAGGGAAATGGCTGATGAAATTGTGTTGTTTCTAATGTAGTGAGTTCAAAAAGGTTTAGGTAGTGGGTCACTTCAGTGGCATTATGGTAATTAGTCCGACCTATGCAATTTAACTTATTTTAATCTAATTTAATCGTACTAAATCACATTTCAGATAAATATACCATAAGATCATATAAATTCTAATGATCATGAAACATCAATCAATTTCTGGTTCGGCCGCCGATAAGGCCTTCAATTCACAGTTAAACATGAAAACATGAACATATAATCAAACAGTCAACAGATAGACAATGTATTTAAACAGATACAGTCAATCAATCAGTTTCAGATTTTAGTCAGTCAGTTCAGTATTTCAATCAGTTCAATTCCCAATCATAATCAGTCATAGTTTAGCACAAATCAGTAGTTTATCGGTAAACATGGGTAAGGGTTATTACAGTCTCCCCTCCTTAAAAAGAGTTTAGTCCTCTAAACTCGAGTTACCTTCATTCTGAAAGAAAACAGGATTCAGTGGAAACATTTCGGGATATCTTTTAGCTATGTCATCTTCCCTTTCCCAAGTGACATACACCCCACCATGGTTTTGTCAGTCGACTTTCACTAGTGGAATCTCTTTGTTTCTCAACTTTTTGATCCGTCTGTTTACAATTTGAACAGGCCGTTCCTCGTAAGTATAGTCATCAATCAGCACTAGACGAGTAGGCTCTATTACATGAAAAGGATCCCGGAGGTAGTCCCTCAACATAGAAATGTGGAAGACGTTATGCATATGCTCCATTTCAGGAGGAAGCGCTACTTGACACGCCACCAGATTGATTTTCTCAATAATCTCATATGGTTCGACATATCTCGGCGCTAACTTGCCTTTGACTTCAAAACGAGTCTGGCCTTTCATCGGTGTCACTTTGACAAAAACGTGATCACCTACTTCATACTCTCTGTCCCGTCTTCTGACATCTGCATAACTTTTCTGTCGGCTCTGCATTTTTCAGTCTCTGTTGTATCAGTTTTACTTTCTCAGTCGTTTCATATACAATCTCGGGCCCAAGCAAAGGCCCATCTCCAACTTCTGTCTAGCAAATCAGAGATTTACATTTTCTGCCATGCAATGCCTCAAAAGGTGCCATACCAATACTTGAATGATAACTGTTGTTGTAGGCGAATTCAGCTAAGGGCAAATGGCTTTTCCAGTTTCCCTGAAAATCAAGGACACACATTCTCAGTAAATCCTCCAGAGTCTGGATGGTCGTTTCTGGCTGACCATCTGTCTGAGGATGATAGACACTACTCAGTCTCAGTTTAGTACCCAATGCAGTCTGTAAGCTTAGCCAGAATCTCGATGTAAACTTCGAGTCCCTATCAGAAAAAATGGACACAGGCACTCCATGCAGTCTAACAATTTCATCAATGTAGAGTATAGCCAATTTGTCCACATTATAAATTGTTTTGACAGGTAACAAGTGAGCAGATTTAGTCAGTCTATCAACAATAACCCAAATTAAGTCCATACCTTTACTGGAGCGAGGTAGACCGACGATAAAATCCATAGTAATATGTTCCCATTTCCACTCCGGTATCGGTAAGGGCTGCAATAAGCCGGCGGGTCGTTGATGTTCGGCCTTGACTTGTTGGCAATGAAGACATTTCGATACAAAATCAGCAATCTCTTTCTTCATTCCCGGCCACCAGAAATTCAGTTTTAGGTCTTGGTACATTTTCATATTCCCCGGATGGATAGAAAATTTTAAATTGTGGCCCTCTTGTAGAACTCTTCTTTTCAATTCAGAATCATTCGGTACACACAGTCTTTCTTGAAATTTCAGTACATTATTTTCAAATTTGAAACCCGGTCTTGGTTTAGCTTCCCTTTCTTCAATGATCTTCTTCAAGAAGTCATCAAATTGCTGTTTCTCTTTAATTTCTTCAATCAGTGCCGGTTGAGCAGAAATAACAGCTATTGTTCCACCTTGTTCTCGCAAAACAATTTCAATCTCAGATTTTTCAAGATCACAAAGAAATTCTTTCTGCCCGGTGACCAAACAGGCTAAGTTTCCAATCGATTTCCGACTCAATGCATCGGCAATGGTGTTGGCTTTTCCCGGATGGTACAAAATCTGTAGGTCATAGTCTTTAGTCAATTCTAGCTATCTCCGTTGTCTTATGTTCAGTTCTTTTTGTGTGAAGAAATATTTCAAATATATATTTCACATGTCGCCCCATAAAGGTAGTGACGCTAGATTTTTAAGGCAAATACCACTGCAGTAAGTTCCAAGTCATGGGTCGGGTAGTTATTTTCATGCGGGCTTAGTTGTCGGGAAGCATAGGCAATAACTCTCCCATTCTGCATTAAAACACATCCCAAACCCTTATGAGAAGCATCACTAAATATGGTAAAACCATCCGTACTTGAAGGTAGGGTAAGAACCGGTGCAGTCACAAGTCGAGTTTTCAACTTTTGGAAAGCCGATTCCCTTTGGTCAGTCCAGTGAAATGATATCCCCTTCTGAGTCAATTGAGTCAACGGTAAGGCAATTTTGGAGAAATCTCTGGCAAATCTTCTGTAATATCCAACTAATCCCAAAAAGCTTCGGACTTCTGTAACATTTGTTGGTCTAGGCCAGTTTACTACTGTTTCAACTTTCTGTGGATCAACTGAAATTCCTTCCTTACTAATAACATGTCCCAAAAACATAACATGGTCAAGCCAAAATTCACATTTAGACAGTTTAGCAAAAAGTTTCTGTTCTCTTAGGGTTTGTAGAGCAAGTCTCAAATGATGTTCATGTTCTTCTATACTTTTGGAATAAATCATTTTGTCATCAATGAATACAACAATAAAGTCATCAAGGAATGGTTTAAAGATTCTGTTCATGAGGTCCATAAATGCAGTAGGTGCATTGGTAACTCCGAAAGGCATAACTAAAAATTCGTAATGTCCATACCTCGTTCGAAAAGTAATTTTGTCAATGTCCTCTGGTCTAACTTTTAATTGATGATATCTGGATCTGAGATCAATCTTAGAAAATACTTGAGCACCCTGTAACTGATCAAATAAATCATCAATACGTGGCAATGGATATTTATTTTTCACAGTTACCTTGTTCAGTTCACGGTAGTCGATACAGAGTCTCAGTGAGCTGTCTTTCTTCTTCACAAACAAGACAGGTGCGCCCCACGGCGATGTACTAGGCATGATGAACTTTTTGTCTAACAGTTCTTGCAGTTGCACTTTCAGTTCAGTTGGAGCCATTCTGTAGGGAGCTTTAGATACTGGCTGTGTACCCGGAATCACATCAATGGTGAACTCAATCTCCCTGTCAATCAAATCCCCTGGCAGATCATCTGGAAAAATATCTTGGAATTCTCTGACTATAAGAATACAGTTCACATCAGTTTTATCAGCAATAGATACATTCAATACAGAACACAGATACCCTTTACACTCATTCTTAATCAATTTAAAGGCTTTCATGGAGGAAATCAAATATGGAGGAGGTACTACTCCAACCCCATAAAACACAAATTCAGGTAAACCCGGTGGACGGAAAATTACTTGTTTCGTTGCACAGTCTATGGTAGCATGATATTTCGTTAACCAGTCCATTCCCAATATAACATCAAAATGATCTATGTTCAGAGGCAGTAAGTCAATATACAGATGCATATCCCCAACAATAATTTCACATGCAGGGTACATATATGCACAAGTCATGGATCCCCCTACGGGTGAAAATACAACTAACAGATAATTCATGGGTTCTAAGGGTTTATTCAATTTTCGCGAAAAAGCATGCGATACGTATGAATGCGTAGACTCCGAATCAATCAGTACATATGCATTTTGAGTACAAATAGAGAGGATACCTGACACAACGGTCTCGGTATTTTGTACATCTCCCGGTACTAGGGCGAACACTCGGCCCTGCCTCATGGGCTCTTTCCCGGTAGCCTTGGGGTTCGGTTTTGGTGCAACAGTTGATGCTGCGGTGCTGCCTGTAGCTTTACTATTGCCCGGAGCAGTAGAAGGGCAATCTTTAACTATGTGGCCCACCTTGCCACACCTATAGCAAGCACCAGATATTTTATAACAGACCCCTTTTTGCTTTTTGCCACACTCAGAACAGGGTGGTATGGAGCCACTTCCCTGGCTGGAGCTAATTGTTGACCCCGTATCCTGTTTCTTGTTCAATGGATTATTTTTGCCCTTCTCGAACTTGAAACCCTGCCTTTTACCACGCCACTCAGACGCTGGTGTTTCAGTTTGTTTCAGTGCCTCGATGTTTGATTCAGCCATCAAAGCTCGGTCAAGAACATTTACATAGTTCGGTAGCTTCAGAACATTAATTCTGTCCAGTATTGCAACATTAAGGCCGCCTTCAAACTTCCGAGCCTTCTTGTAATCAGTATCAACCATGTGCGGTGCATAGCGGGCAAGCTCGGTGAACTTTGTTTCATATTCAGCAACGCACATGGTACCCTGTCTCAGTTGTTCAAATTCAGTCACCTTTCTGTCCCTGACACACTGAGGAAAGTACTTTTCGAAGAAGGACTCCTTAAACTGAGCCCAAGTCACTACTGTGTTAGTGTCACGGACTAGCATCCACCACCTTCTAGCTTCTTCTTGTAAGGTGAAGGTAGCTAATAGTACTTTATGTGCTTCAGAGCACGAAAACACCTCAAACAATTTTTCTGTTTCAAGAACCCAAGCTTCAGCCTTTAGCGGCTCAAGGCCTCCCTGAAAGGATGGCGGTTTCATTTTGCTGAACTTATGGGTGAGAGCAATTATGTCCCCATCATTAACATTGACATTCTATTCCGGCTGTACCGGAGGAGGAGGTGGGGGCTATTTGTTCTGTTGTTGCTGTTGCCTTAAGGCTTCAGTTAATAATTCAACAGTTCTTTCTAGTCTGGCCATTCTGGCCTCAGATGATTCAGTTCCATCAGTAGTATTTGCATTACCCATTTCACTATATGCAACAGAGCAATAATAAACATAGGAAGTCGCATACTTTAAACATTTAAACATTTTAACACATATATTCATATCATGTCCACACATATTTTTCGTGCTCATGCAATGCCCTAATTGCTTTTCTAGGACACTCTATAGCTCATTTGGACACGTGTGTGCGGTATAACTCGTGGTTAAGTATCGCTCTGATACCACTCTGTCACGACCCAAACCCGCCCTTATGGGTTTAGCACCGTAACCGGCTAGTAATCCGAGATTATCGAAGGCCTGCTTAATAGTAAAACAGTAAAACAGAGTACAGGGGCATGGCGGAAGCCAATAGAGTAAATAAACAATGTCCAATGAGCTGTGAGTCTGTATGCAAAAAGATTTTTCATACATATATACATGAACAGTGCAGAATAGTATGTACAACATTTACAGTCGATCAGGACAGGGACCTAGTCCCTATTAAATAGTACAGTACAGTGCTATTAGTCTATACAGTTATTACAAAACAGATACAGAGGTAGACGGGGAAAATTAAAACATCCCTAAGCCATAGCTTGGCAGGCTCGGAACCTCGCAGTGAGGTACAGTGGTTGGCTCGACAAAAAGGGGAGTCTAACCCACGCTCCTAGCTCCGGTCTGGTGCCTGAACACCTACATATACATATATACTTAAGATTCTCTTGGCTAAAACCCAGTGAATAACATAATGCGTAAAGAGGTTAAGAATGAATGTCCTTTCAGTATTGAAAACAGTCAGTTGATTCAGTATATCAGTCATTCAGTCATAACAGTCATATGTGGTACATCCATTAACATAACAGTACAGTAAACAGTAGGTCTTAAAAAACCGAACAGTAAATGATGGCCATCATATCAGTAACAGTAGTGTTTCCAACATGGGAACCGACAAAGATCTCTGTAACAGTAGCAGTCAGTGCAGTAACAGTAGTTGCTAAGGATGCCACAATACAGTTCAGAATAGAGGACATACATTCATTCAGTAACAGTATCATTTCAGAAAACAGTACAGTCAATTGTTCAGAAGATAATCATTTTGAACATATCTTTACAACATTGTTACTCAAAGAGTTCTGGGCTACAGTTAACTAGAGCGCGTCCCCAGATGCCAACCCTACACAGTTACAGATTGAACACACACTAAGCTACACAGTTGGGAAAAATTATAACTTAATCCCTAAATTGTCTCGGTGTGGTTCTATATCTATATCCTCATTAAGATGCCTTAAACTAGGCCTAAGACTGCCTAGTATGGGATGAAGATGCAAAGATGCACCTAAAAAGACATTTTCAGAATTTTTAGAAAACAGGGGTTCCGCTTGAGCGCATGTTACCCCGCTCGAGCAGTCAGGAAAACAAAATACTCCGCTCAAGCGCGAGTTATTCCGTTCGAGCGGACTGTAAAACAGTGCAAAAGTACTGGATGTGTGAAAATCACGCTCGATGGGCGCTCGATAGCCGCTCGAGTGTAATACACAAGGTCTCGCTCGAGCCCCAATTACCCCGCTCGAGCTGACTTCAAAACAGTTCAAGATGCTGGGAGCTCGAATTCCCTGCTCGAGCGCAACTTTCCCCGCTCGAGCGGGAGACCAAAATCTGGAAAATCCAGATTTGAGTCCCAAGCTCAAAACTCAATCTTTGATGCATTAAAACCAATCCTTTTGGGCCAATTTTCCAGAAACATTCCAAAACTCATAATTTGACATAATTTCAAGCTCAATTGTAAAATCAAAGCCCAAGGGTAATTTAATTCAATACCAATTTGAAACCAATTTTCATGTGCAAGATGAATATGCAACATGTATGAATTCAAACAATTCTCAAGCTTCAAAACTTGCTCTAAAGAGCCAATTCTTCCAAGAACAAGATGAAATCATGGTTTATGATCAAAAGATGAACATGCATGTGAGGAATGATGAACTTACAACCTCAAAACTCTTCAATGTACACATGCATGCAAGATTAGAGCTACAACTCAACATGCTAGAACTAATTCATGACTTAGCTCTTCAATTTGGCAAGAACCATGCAAGAATCAACTTAAAGACACAATTAAGAGGATAAATTCCTTACCTAGGTCCTCAAATACAAGTCTAGAAGCTCTATTGGTCACAAGCTCCCCCAATCTTCTCAATTTACAAGCAAAACAAGATGAATCAAGTTGAATCACTCTTTTCCTCTCTCTCTCTCTCTCTCTCTAGTCGGCAATAACAAGGGAAATGGCTGATGAAATTGTGTTGTTTCTAATGTAGTGAGTTCAAAAAGGTTTAGGTAGTGGGCCACTTCAGTGGCATTATGGTAATTAGTCCGACCTATGCAATTTAACTTATTTTAATCTAGTTTAATCGTACTAAATCACATTTCAGATAAATATACCATAAGATCATATAACTTCTAATGATCATGAAACATCAATCAATTTCTGGTTCGGCCGCCGACAAGGCCTGCAATTCACAGTTAAACATGAAAACATGAACAGATAATCAAACAGTCAGTAGATAGACAATGCATTTAAACAGATGCAGTCAATCCGTCAGTTTCAGATTTTAGTCAGTCATTTCAGTATTTCAATCAGTTCAATTACCAATCATAATCAGTCCCAGTTTAGCAGAAATTAGTAGTTTATCGGTAAACAGGGGTGAGGGTTATTACAGGGTGTGACTGTTAAGAATTGAGAGAAACTGGGTAATCTCCAAATCACTAACACCAACCCCACACATCACACTTTTGTGGAAATTTACCTTTAATCCAGACAACACCTCAAAGCAACTTAAGATTCTCTTGATGTTCACCAATTTCCCTCTCTCTGCTTCATAGAATATAATGGTGTCATCTACGTATTACAAATGAGAGACTTTAATCTCATTAGGCCCCACACATGCATCTTTTATAAGCCCTCTCTCCTTTGCTCTTTCAATCAAAATATTCAGGCCTTCAGCAACTATGTTGAACAAAAGTGGTGATAAAGGCTCACCATGCCTTAGACCTCTTTGGGGTATGAATTCTGCTATTGGAGAACCATTTACCAGGACAAAAACTTTAGATGATGATAGGCATGTTTTAATCCAACTCACCCATTTGACCCAAAAACCAAAATTCTTCATCATTGATAAAAGAAACTCACAGTTAACTAAGTCGTATGCCTTTTCGAAATCCAGCTTTAGAATAATACCTTTCATTTTTTCAGCTTTCCACCAATGGACCACTTCATTAGCAATGAGAACACCATCAAGAATAAATCTTCCCTCCAAGAAAGTTGTTTGAACTTCACTAATGATTACTGGCATGACTCTCTTCAATCTTTTTGATAGCACTTAAGCCAATATTTTATACACAGAATTGACTAAGCTAATTGGCCTGTAATCACTTAACTCACATGAGCTCTCTTTTTTAGGTATGAGGGTAATGAAAGAGCTATTTAGACTCGACACCAGCTTCCCATTTGAGTAAAACTCATGCATGAATTGTAGTATTTCTCCTTTCATGACCTGTCAGCACTTCTGAATGCACGCCAAATTGAACCCGTCAGGCCTAGGAGCATTGCTACCATCACTTGAAAATAAAAAGTCCAAATATTTGAAACAACATTTCTCCACGAAAATATAATATAATCAATCACAAGACCATTGTGGCATTGAAAAATTGCCTATCCGAATCACTTATCATTTTCACTAATTTGCATAATAGAACACACACACTCACAAAAAAGAAAACTCACGAGTCTCTTTAGTAAAATTGTGCAGAAGTATAAACTTAATAACTAAAACTGTGAAATTTCCAAAATAAATAAATACATAAATAAATAATTTTACAATACTATTTCACAATATTGCAATACATAAAATCTGTTACAAAATCGGAATGTATTCTATGTAATAGTAAGGGCTGAATAAATGCATGGTCCTAATAACAAGGAGATAGTATACAAATTACAACTTATTGTTGACCCGGCACACATACATATAGTCTCCACGAAGGTGCAATAATACCAGTCCAATTCGTCGAGAAAAAATTTTGGAGTTCATACAACATACATTATTTAGAACTCATATCTACTTAAAAGCTTAAGTCTTGAAGGGCTCATCCAGTGTTTTAAATCCACACATTTTATTTTGAGAAAATTAAAAAAAAAAAAAATAACCCTAGGGCTAGACACTTTTAACAAATTAAACTCTAAGTTTTTAATTTTATCAATTTAATCCTTAAACTTTTTATTTGTTTTCAATTTAAACCATTTGTCTATTTTCATTAAGCAAAATCGACGAAAAAAATTAGTATTTTAGTTATTAAACTCAATGAAAAATAATATTTTAGACATTTTATGTATACTTTAAGTTTAATAGCTAAAATACTTTTTTTCCTGACGATTTTATTTAACAAAAATAGGTGAATGATTTAGATTGAAAGATTGGGGTTAAATTGATAAAATTAAAAATTCAGAATTTATTTTATAATAAGATTCAAACCGTAAGTTTTCTTTTTCTTTCTCTTTTTTTTGTAATTATCTCTTTTATTTTTTATTTGATGCGAGACCCAATTTTTGCACATTCCAGCAAAATCTCATAACGGAACGGGGGTTCGACAGCTGGGGCAATTGGGATGGTCAACTAGCCATGGAAGAAGGCAATCAGAGTGGTACTTGTGGGTGCATGAGAGTTGCATGACTTGTTTCTCTACATGAAAATCTTCCAAGCATACAGCACAAAGCTGCCCTTTTGATTTACTTGTGTTGATCTGGAAGTGCCATCGTCTCCCTGGTATTCTTGTAACCAAGTAACCATGGTTATGGTTATCCCTCGTCCTCATATTATTATTGCCTCTACCTTCATTTGCTTCAACTCTATTCAACCTTCAATTTAAGACAACAAGTGAGTCCAATATGGAAAAAAAATTGGTAGCTAGTTTTAGACTATCATGTCGCGTTATTTATGTCATACTTTTGACAAATAAATAAAAAGTTAGACAGTATTGTCACATCTGTCATATTTTTTGTTACGTAAACAATTGAGAGCACCAGAACATTCTAACTAAATCCCACATGATGTTTGAATTTTTAGACTCTTTCACACTTTATTTTTTATATATATATATATATATATATGTTTTATATTAATTTGTTATTATTTTAGAGTAATTTTGGTTTGAGTTAGTACATATCCTTTTGATAAACTACAATAATGAATAAGACTATGGCCCATTTTGGCAACCAAAAAAAGGGTTATCTATCTTTCCGATTATTTATTTTTTTTAATTTTTTGTGATTTTTTTTAAAATTATGTCAATTTTTATTGTTATTTTTTCAGTCCGTCTTGTCGAGACAAATCTAAAAAGTAAATTTTTTTTAAAAATTCTATAAAAAAAATCACTAATATCAAAATAAGACCAAACAAATTGTTTGTTTCGACTTATTTTTGTTTTTGCTGGATTTTTGTTACATTTTTAGAAACAAATCATAATTTTCTAGTTCATTTTGACCAGTTGAATCTAGAAACTTAAAGTTTTTTTTTGAATTTTTTTTTATAAAAAAATTCACTAAAAACGAAAAAAAAGTAAAAAAAAATACTCTTCCCAAAACACCCCTATGAGCATTTAGATTGAATCTTAAAATGGTTGCATTCCGCTTGTATCTTTGCGCAGGTAGAAAAATTAACTTAAAGGCAATAACTACGGCGTCTCTTAAATTTCACATGTCAAAATTTTCAACTCCAATTTGTTGTGTTATTATATTGTTTACTATTTAATATCTTTTTGTATAGAATTTCTAATTCATTTGTGCAATTTGAGTATCTATGATGTTTTCACAATGATCTGTATATTTTGGACATACTATGTTGTCTCTATTGGTTAGTTGCTCACCAATTTTGAAGTGTACCAGCAGAAGATTTTGTTAGCTCCATAGTGCCAATCTTATTGGGATTATAGAGTTATTGTGATGCTGTTTGCACCATTCTTTTTTTTTTTTTTTTGATGTATCGTTTTTTATTATTATCAATAAAATTTTCTTATACTTGTTCAAAAAAAAAAAAAAATTGAGAACAAAAATCACCAGTAACCAAATTATGATTGTCAATTAGGACGAATGGAAGCACTCAGAGAGAGAGAGAGAGAGAGAGAGAGAGAACCTTGAACTTGAAGGCCGGAAACAACCAAGTTTCTCTTCCAGGCGTTTGCGGGCTTTTAGGGCAGCCTCATCCATGGTGGCAGCAGTGGTGGTGGTGGTGATGATCGGTGGTGGTGGTTCGAGCAATGATCTGTATGAGGGGTGGGCATGGTGAGGATTGTCCTCTTGAAAGTGTTGTTTTCTATTTTGAATCCTCCTCCTACGCATCTCTATTGCTAGCGTCAATCCAGCCATCTTTCTTTTTCTTGTTTTGATTTCTCAAATCTACCAAAACTACTCTTTTTGAATGGTCGTCCTAACCCAATAAATAAATATATTTACACACACTCTTACTAGTGTACCAGTTCTTTACTTAAAAGAGGATGAGCAATCTTTCCCCAGAAGATTACATTTCATTTGGTCAATGGATTGATAAAACGGCAACACCAATCCTATTGCATCATGACACGTCGATAAAAAAGTACCATTCAGATGCTTGGAATCTTTTGTTGTTAAATTTATCTGTCTCAATGAAATTTTACTTGTAGGATTATGTTAGAATCTCGACAGACATAAATTTGAAAATATGATTATATATTCAGGATTTTTTTGAAATAGAGCATCCTGTGTTATGTTCGCACGGTATTTTAGAAATGTACCTGTTAAATTTTATGTTTCTAAAATCTTTATATTTCCATACTGGAGAATCTCAATGCATGAACTACAAATGTATTGAGAAAAAAGAAACATAAATTTGTGGATAGATGATCCGTACATCAGTATCTGGTCTGGCATTATGAGGTGGCATACATATATGGTACATAATATATGTAGATATTAAATAATCATAGGGAAAAATTATGTGGAGCAGACAGTGGGTTGGGTTGGATTTTAAAAAATATTAAAATATTATGATTTAATATAAAACAATTGACATAATAAAAAATTATAAAAGATTGATCTAAATTTAGATATATATAATACTCATTTTTGATATATTACTCAATATTCTAAGGCCATAAACTCTACATTAGTCCAATTTAAAAACTAAAAGAACTAACATAATAGGTCAATCTTTTTTCTTTACTAAAATTTAACTGCATTTAGTTGAAGTTTTTATTTTTTTAAGTTTAATATGATTTTACCGCAATTAAGTAGACAATATTCCTTATTTGTAGTAAATTTTTTTAACAGGTTTTAAGTTTAAAATTTTTTTAGCAACTAAAAAATTATTGGACAACCGGTGTTTGGATTATTTTTATTTTGTAAGTGTAAATTGTTTTATGATTTGCCCAATCGGTGGTAGCAGTGAGCTGCTTGGCTGTTGTTTGCTTTGAAGGTGCTATCAATGTACTCTTTTCTTGTAGTATTATCATTGGCCTGTTGTTCTGTTTCGCTCTTGTTGATTGGTTTCTCATCAATTTTGTAGCGTTCTTACAAATGAATTGTCTTACTCAATAGTGTCAATTTAGTTGGGATCATTTAGCTTGTTGTGATACTTTTTACACTTACTCCCTTTATTGATGATGTATTCTATATTTTTATTTGATTATCATCAATAAAGTCTCTTTTTGCTACTCTTAATTTCATACTGTTTAAATAAAATTTTTCTTTGCTGATCAAAAAAAATAAAGTCTCTTTTTGCTATTTCAAAAGAATCAAAAAAAAAAGAAAAAAAGAAAAAAAAGCAGGAGGTCAGATTAAATCTTTAAAGAACATTACATGAGACATTAATTTTTTAAAAAGTGCTCATCAAAAAAAATAAAAATAAAAAGTAACCCTAGTACGGATCGTGTTTTTCTGTTGGATTGTGTTCGGAGAGTCATTATATGGGAAACAAATTTTTTTTTTTTTCCAAAAAAATAGTACTTACTTAAAATGTACTTCCTCAAAAGATCTCTTGATCTATTTACATGTTACTGCGCAGATTTAATCATCATTTTTGGGTTAGGAATTGTTTGTCTTCAAAATTTTTGTATGTGATGAGAGTCCATAAACTTGAAAATCTCAAGCAACGACCGTGTAACAAAAATGTAATAGAGAAAGAAGATTTTAAAATTTAAAATAAAAGAGCCGTGCCGCATTTATATATGTATATATATATATGTATATTTATCTTTTTCTTTTGATTTGCTCAAAATTTTGAGTTTATTTGGTGTGGGATTGGGAGGTGGCATACATATACGG